ATCCACAAATGGGTGCAGCGATCTACAAATGCACGGGACGCGATTCACAAATTAATGCCAGGCAAAGTTGTGTTTGTGACTTAAAAAGATATTTGTGAACATGTTTTTTATTTGCAAATCTCATTTTATTTATTTGTGGATCTAATTCTATTTATTCGTCAATATGTTTAATTTTTGTTAATCTCTTTACATTTATTTGTGGATCATAATCTATTTATTTAGAATAAAGCAACAATTCTACCCCCATAGGCTAAACCCAGCATTTGGGTAATGTATATATACTTTTGGAGAGAACATGAGTTTCTTAAGGCTATATGCAAACAATTAATTTTGACTCATTCTTAACCTTTGCAATACATCACGTCCAGTCAGAGAGGCGGATAAAGCTGACTTTTAAAAAAACGTTTCCAGTTATAATGGAAAACACAAGACGTGTCACTCGCATAGTTTTGAATGGGGAAAAATGCAACGCTCAATATGGCTGCTCAATTCGCAGGAAGTCCCGCCTTCTGAATGAAAGAGCCAATCACTGCAGCTGCCGTTAGAAGTCCCGGTTGCTATAGAAACAGTCAGCGCTCTGAGACGTGCGCTTAGGACTGCGCATGCGCACTGGCTGATCTAGCCTGAAAAATAAGCTTTTTATAACAGTATCTGAGCAAAAGAAACAACATTTATGACACAGTTGTTGTCAGATTTCTTTGGTGATTTCAAATATGAAATTTAATCACAAGCTTAGTGAACAGTTTTGTTGAATTTGATGTTTCCCCATTCAAAGAGATAGGAGCTGCACTTGCATGCCCGAGAGGCGTTTCAAAGATGGCCGCCGAGTGACATGACTTGCCTTAAAGGGACTTTGCTAACGTTACCTGGAAAGCGATAACTGTCTCTTTTGATAATCGCTGAAAACAGCACTCCGCTCTTCTCACAGTGATCTTCAGCAACTAAACGAGCGGAAATAATTGATTGATTTTCACTTGAAGTTTGGTGATTTCCAGCCATTAGACCATTCGCCTCATAATGCAAACGAGCAGGTTCAGTGGTAGAGAATGAACCGTGATATCAGCACGAGCTTACTTTTTGTTCGTACGCGCACAGGTCTGATGCACTTACGTTACCTTACGTTAACGTGCGGGTGACAGTGAGTGAGCCGCTCTGTTCAGACCATAGACCAGGGTTCCTCAAATCTTGCCCTGGAGGGCCAATGCACTGCAGAGTTTAGCTCCAACCCTGATCAAACTCACCTACCTGTGATTTTCTAATGATCCTGAAGACATTGATTAGCATGCTCAGGTGGGCTTGATTAGGGTTAGAGCTAAACTCGGCAGGAAAGTGGATCTCGTGGGCCAGATTTGATGATCCCTGCCATAGACTGTATAAAAACATGGACGTAGTGTCCGTGACATCACCCGTAGTGTTCCGAAGAGCGTTTTTGAAGCTCAAAAGTGGGCGGAGCCGGCCGTAGCCATCTTGGCTAGCGCGTCACTGCGCGTCACTCCCGGATAATCGAAAATGGGCAAAGAGGCGGGAGCTGGCTGCTGAAACCACGCCCACCTAGCGCGCCCGGGGGGACAGCAGCGGCAATCCACCTGTCACTCAAGTGGCCACGCCCTTAATTATGCACAACTTTAAGGCTTAATATAATTTAAACGGATGAGTTATAAAAAAATTCCCCCCCCTCACAGTTGTCATGAAGGGCAAAATTAGCTATGTAGACCAAAATATTTTTTTGAACCAGGCTGTAAACATGTTTTTTCTGCTATAAAGTTGGGTATTTTAACATGGGGAGTCTATGGGTTTGTATGGAACGATATTCCGGACAATTTTCAAATAGAGTAGCAAATTGTATTTTCAATTGGGTTTTCAATATGTGGACGCATAAATTTGACAAAACAGAAAATGCTGCTACTCTTACTCTGCCTGCCCCAGATGACACTTCAGCAGTCAGATCTAGCTGCAGCTGTCACAGAACAGGCCACAGCCAAGGCTAGATAACATTACAAATCACGTGCATCAATCGCGGTGTCCAGTGGCTGTAAATAGTGAGAGATCTTGAGGCAGGCGCAACGCTTTGGTGCCACGTATTGGACGCAAACTCCATAACGGATTAAAACTGTTGAATCAAATATAAAGTAAGGTGGAAAATAAGTATAGATTCAGCTAATCAGATAAACACACGAATGTTTTAGGAACATCATATTTCATTCAAAGCATTTTGTTTGGCTTCAAAGACCAGCCAATATGAATCTGATCTACTTGTACCTTGATAAGCATCTAAAAACAGCACAAATTCACAAATAAACGCTGTCAAAAGTGACATTTGATAAGAGGCTTTTTAGCACAAAGAGAACGAGTGTTCCTTTACAGCTCCAAGTTGGCAGCATATAGAGAGCATATTATGTACTGTATATAAACAATGTTCACCGAGTGCAAAAGCAAGCTGAAAAGCTGTAATGGAAATAACTCCAAGAATCATCCTAAAAAAAAAAACTTAAAGTGAAATGGCTTTATATACCAACACAAATATAAAACATACAGTACACACTTTCAGAAATACCTCAGTACAAAAACAAACCAATAACAACAAAAGAACAATCTCTGGTCATGAGACACATACAGGTGCATCTCAATAAATTAGAAACAATTCACTAAAAATGTTTTTTTTATTGGTCTTATGAAGTATTCTAATTTGTTGAGATAGTGAATTGGTGGGTTTTTGTTAAATGTGAGCCAAAATCATCACAATTAAAAGAACCAAAGACTTAAACTACTTCAGTGTGTGTACATTGAATTTTTTTAACACACAAGTTTCACAATTTGAGTTGAATTACTGAAATAAATGAACTTTTCCACGACATTCTAATTTATTGAGATGCACCTGTATATACAGACATGTGACGAATGTCAACTGATATGACAGGCCTGCAAACAGTTTACTTGGCGTTCAAAGCTACATATTCAGACAATTCCTGCAAATCGCTCGCTTTTCACTTTTGAAAGAAAACATTTGTACACATTACATGTAAATAATGTATATTTACTATGTTATTTACATGTAAATAATGTTTACATTTAGTATTTTCAAATATTTTTTTAATAATGCACTGCATTCTTTCTTGAAACAATTAAATTAACAATTAAAGAATATGTCGTTTACAGTAGGCCTTTTGTTTTAATATAGTAAACAAAAAAACTTTTCTGTTCCTGTGTGTGTGTGAATATGTACAGCAGGGTCCAAAAGTCTGAGATTTCATAATTATAGTGAAACATTTCATAGTGGAAATTTGAAGAGTTCCGTATTAAAACAAGTATTTGGTATATCAGGTTTTGTTCAAGTGCTGCTGTCATTAAAGCGTTATTTCAAAATAAAATATATTATTAAAATATATTTTTAAATACTTTCCCCCCCTACATTTTCTAAATTCAATTTCAAAATTAATTTTGAATACCCGATTTCAATGTGGACTTTTAAACCCCACTGTATATACAGTATGTTCAGAAGTTTTCAGGAGTCCACCTTGCCGTATGTCCCTTCAGGTGGCCGGTAGTATTTGGGAAAGGCCATCAGCTGGAGCATGTTGAAAGCGTATTTTCTGCACTTTATATTCTTTTGCACATTCTCAATCCGGCAGCCTTCTCTGATGAGGGGAAAATGAAAAAAGATAGGAAAGGAATGATAATAATGATGAGGATGAAATCAAAAAAGAGCCAAAACAACAATGAAAAGGCCTCAGTGATGCTACCTGCAAAGCATGAGGAAACATTTTGATTGTACTGAATAAACAACACTTCAATTATGAAAGCATAATGCAACAGATAACTGTGACATTCATGTTGCATTTAGAGCGTGTCAAAAAACAAAACACCTCTTCACTTCCTTCTGACAAAAAAAAATAAAAATACGTGCAGCTGCTAAAATGCTTTCCATTTAAGATCAAAATACCATTCCAAACCCGTATGTGACATTATGTTTCACAGAGAAAATAACAAGGGCGTAAGACATGAGGGTTTGAACCATTAAATATTACCAAGTGCTCAACATGAAATTACTTATTTTGTTAGTAGTGGAATAACATTAAATACCTAAGGAAGCACGTTTCTACCATGCGATAAAAAATTAAATAAAAAAAGGTAAATGTAACTTTTTATCTCATAATTCTTTTTTCTCTGAATTCTGAGTTATCTCACAATTCTAACCTTTTCTTAGAATTGCAAGACAAAACTCAGAATACAGAGAAAAAAAAGTCTGAGGCTACGTTTACACGACAACGGTGTAGTCAAAAACAGAAACGTTTTTAAAAAGTTTCACGTATACATGACAACGTTTTCAAAACGAAATCGCGTTTACACATATCCGCGAAAATGGCCAAAAGCGCTGTATTAAGTATGCCAGGCCAGTAGTTGGCGCTGTCACCTTGTTATTAAACAGCACCTGTAGGGAAGTGACGATTATATGATGTATATGATGCCTCTCCGCTGTTTGTTGTAATATTGGTGAAGTAAATCCACACTTTACTGAAGAAGCGTTAGCAAACTCTTGAGCAGCAACAACAGTACCATGTACTCCGCCATTGTTGTGTATGTTTGTTCGCGCTTGCCTTTAAAATCGACACATACTGCGCATGTCTACATACCTAACACATACTACGCACACGCATGATGTCAGCGTTTTCAAAGATTCACGTTTTGGTTGTTTACACGGAAACGATAACGGTGCCGTTTTCGAAAACTTGCACTTTGAAACCCGTTTTCAAAAATATGCGCTTTCAGTCCCCAAAACGCCGTTGTCGTGTAAACGAACAGTCAAAACGCATAAAAAGTTTCCCATTTTTGGCTGAAAATGTTGTCGTGTAAACGGCCCCTGAATTGCGAGATAAAAAGTTGATCTTTTTTCGTCTTTAAATTCCTTGGCAAAAACGAGCATCCATAAAAATCAGAAATGTTATTTGTGAAGACAGAGAGAACCACTCGAGGAAGCAAGTAAGAAGTTAGACGCAGCTCGGTTATGGCATAATCAGCAGTTTATTGGTATTTTGCAAGCAAAAAAACAAGACTTAAAATGAGCCACACCACTAGCAGGTGGGAGCTGACAAGCAGAAGGGCGATTGGATAGAAGTGGCGGGACGCCGGCTTGTTAATAGCTACGGAGCCCACTTCGGGGTCGTCCCATTGGGCAACCTCTCCCTGGGCCAAGAGACCGCTGAGCGGAAACGAGAGAGAGAGAGAAAGAAGCAAACACACAGACGTTAGGTTAATAGGTTCACACACACAAACAAATTCAAGAAAAGGTTAATAGTTTAGTCTGGCCTGCGAGACTCACACAAACACATTCAACAAAACCCTAATAGAATGCACACAGAGATTTTAACATAATAATAAATGGTGCCGGAAATTCCTTAATTTGTGTGCAGAAGGATTGAAGGACAAAAATATAAGAAGCAAATGATTCTCATTAAATTCAGGTCCATTAATGGTGGTTGAATGTCTGTATTTTTCCACTGATGCTGACAGAATAGCAAACTACAATAGTGAATCTATTGCGAAACAGCAAGTAATCAAATCCAAATTGCATGTGCTGAGAAAGGCAGATTGGGCAATGCAAAACTGATACGAATGTCCTTCTGTTGAGTTGTGCACAAAAAGAAACATACAGTGCAACAAGTGTGGTTTGATTCACAAATGACTCTTTTAAACACATAAAACTCAAGTTATGAGCATTAGTTGCTGACTCACTAAACTGCGCAACTAATCAGCATTTTTGAACAGGTTTCTCAAACACTTCCTCAAAAGTGCTAAAATAATCATTAATGGATTCGAGTTATTAAAGGAAACGTTCACTTAAATGCTCACTATAAAACGGCACCTTTTCCAACACTAAACACTCCCTAGAATGCAATTATGTTTATGTTGACAGCATGTTATATTGTACAAATGTCATATTGAAAACACCTGTCAATCAAAGCTGTGTGTTCAGATTAAATGCCATCATGCGAATGATGATTTTTATAAAACATTAAAGCGGAAAAAGTTTTATATGAATAAAAAAATCCAGTATTGTATCTCCATATGCACACAACGGTCAGTCGAGGCGACCTGCACCCGCTGCAGGACTCCAAGAGCAACAAACACTGATATTCTTTTGAAAAGGGATGAGTTTTGTTTTTGTCCCAGAATCACAAAATGTCACAGTAAATTCATACTGTTGAGTGAATGACACACAGGTTGACAAGCATCCACATTTATCGGCACATGTGTCAGCTCAACTATCTATTTTGGCTTTGAACAATTTCCGCAGACCGGTTCTGCTACGTCAATTCAACAGTCTTCTCATCTGCTACTGCTAAACAAACAAACTCAAAGCCTTCAGGGCATCAACACCCAGCACAACTAATAAGAGAATCGCCCATCAGTGCAGGCGCTTCAAACTCAGGTACACACGCCATGAGCATCTTTAGCAGGATCTCAAGTCTTTGTGGGGTTTTGGGAAGAAAACTTGCAAATCATTGTGCATATTGTCTATAAAAACCAAACTTTAAATGTTCAAAAATTACAAGAACTCATAATTTCTCCGTGCCGAAAACAACAGCAATGAGAAAATCTTCTATAAAAATATCTTTCCATGCAATGTGTTTTGTAAATTCTGTTCATATTGCAATTTCAAGTGTTACTGTACAGCTGAGCTAATTTTAACTACACAACTAATCTTAACTAATCTTCCAGAACAATGCTTTTTGGATAAGCAGGTTTGTTTACATTGGAAACAGCAGTGGAAGAAATCCAGGGGTGGATCTTGAATAAAGCAACAAGTCCCGTGAAGCCGTGGTTTACAGTGAATTTATAACAGCTAAGGGGTGTTGTTAGGCACGACGTGAAGCGAAGCGTCCATATACGTAGTAAGGATTCACAAAATAAAACAGAGCAAATAAAGTGTAATGATATTAATAAAAACATTATTCTTCCGCCAAACAATGTAGTTCCTCAGAATTGGTTGTGGTTGCAACAAAGTGGTTGTCAAGCAACACACAAATGTAAACAAAGGTGTGTGTTTGTAGAGTAATTTACAACAGCTTAGAACGTGGCTCAACCAATCAGAATCAAGGACCGGACTATCCGTTTTATAAAATGACTGTTAGCATGGCGTGAGGACTGTGAGGGGCGGCAACACAAAAGCAAACAAAGCATTCCATCATCTATACTTAACTATAAAGTTAAAGTAAAATTATTTAGGCTACTTGGGTGGTATATAAATCACAAGTTTTCGTGCGTCAAGTTTATAAGCAACAAAAGCGTTCAAATTCGCTTGAAAGAATGGCCATATTGAAGCATTTAAGACTTCTGAGACTTCCTAACTATTCTAAATTGGAAGTAGGCTAAAGAACTTGCCAAGCCAACAAAAGTTTATTTTTCAAAAATTTGGTTAGGTTTAGATTTCTTTCCCAGCTCAGTTTCTGTGATCGGGATCTTCTTATTGGTTTCATTTGGTTTTGTCGGATGTCAAATATATCCATGCCGAAAGTAATATATATGTAAATAATGGAAAAACAGTCAGTTTGTTTGTGAATTGGGCTGCATTGGTTGCTCTGCGTTTTTGACTCGCCAAAAATAAGCTGTTCAGAAGAGTCACCTGTTATTGAAGTTGACCACACAGCGCGAGACACATTTTCTAACCATTTTTTTTTTGCGGTACATTGTTTATGTCATCCCATTAAAGCACAGCTGCTAAAATGCGGTACAGAAAACATGGCTTATACCGTATTGGCCCGAATATAAGACGACCCTGATTATAAGACGACCCCCCTTTTTCCAGATGTACCTTTTGGAAAAAGGCTTTTTAAAAACCAAATCTTGTTTTTTCTCAGTAAAACACATTTTGTATTCAATTATTTTCATATTGCCTATTTTAATTTTTAATTTGTTTTGAAAGTATGGTAAAAACTGGTAAAATGTACCAACAATCACATTTAAAAAATGCTCAGGTGTGTTTGATTAGGGTTAGAGCTAAACTCTGCAGGAGAGTGGATCTCGTGGGCCAGATTTGAGGATCCCTGCTCTAGACCCTGAATATAAGACGACCGCGTTTTTTCAGATGTATTTCCAAGAGACGACCCCCCTTTTTCCAGATGTACCTTTTGGAAAAAGGCTTTTTAAAAACCAAATCTTGTTTTTTCTCAGTAAAACACATTTTGTCTTCAATTATTTTCATATTGCCTATTTTAATTTTTTATTTGTTTTGAAAGTATGGTAAAAACTGGTAAAATGTACCAACAATCACATTTAAAAAATGCTCAGGTGTGTTTGATTAGGGTTAGAGCTAAACTCTGCAGGAGAGTGGATCTCGTGGGCCAGATTTGAGGATCCCTGGTCTAGACCCTGAATATAAGACGACCGCGTTTTTTCAGATGTATTTCCAAGAAAAAAACATTGTCTTATATTCGGGTCAATACGGTATTTAGATTTTATACTGGGGTAAATAAATAAATAATTCACAGAAAGAAAAAAAAAAGCATTGGCACCCGGTAGATCCGCCCCTGGCACTGTCACGTCTTCTCTTAAATAAACAGACCGATACACAGATCTCAGCTAAAGTACTTCACCACCGCTTGAGGACATTTATCATGATGCAGATTTGAGTCTTAGCAGATACGTCAAGCCATTTAGCAAATGAATCATATTTGGGCACAGAGTGAAGCAGCAGATGGAGGAACATAAATATTTGAAAAGCAAACGAATGAGATTACTCTAATCTTCCAGGCTCAAATCATTTCTTGGTGTTAAATGAGTAGTGGCAGGAATAATTGCTGAAAGTGAGTTGAAAGTGTGCAAAATAATTAAAGTCATATGATGATAATACGAGGACTGTTTCTGTTTCTATAAAAAATGGGGCAATTCCAACGTTGCAAGGACAGTCTGGTGCATCTGACAGACTCACAGACTGTAAGTACGTTTTCATATTTAAAGGATTTGCCACTGATGAGCGCTTGTTGTTTGTCATTTCTCTGATCACAAATGCAGACATGGTTTTATGTTTACGTGGCGCGATGCAACGCAATGTGTAAAGAGACAGTATAAGTCATTACAATCAATAATTATGTCCCCACTGGATGCTACAAATGCCTCATTTGAAATGGGTTTTATTGGTTTTGTCTCGTCGCTCCGGCCGGACAGGGCATCACAGTATTGTAGGGGCGTAACATTTCCGTCACACGCTTGAGGTATTCGGCCAATCACAGCGCACTGGATAGCTGGCCAATCACAGCACACCTCACTTTTCAGACCAATGAGCTTTGTAAAAATCGACGCTTTTCAGAAAGGCGGGGCATAGAGGAGAAACAATAATGTACAGTATGTGGAAAATAATGTGTTTTTTTAACCTTAAGCATGAACACATTGCATTACACCAAATACACAAAATAATGTTATTTTTAACAATGTCATATGACCCCTTTAAATAAACTGTATAAATAGACGGAACTTAGCCATTTTTTAAAAATAATATTTTATAAACAAAATTTTTCAGTGAATTGCATTTATGACTAAGAATATTTCACAATTTTTTTTCATTGAGCTTGTTGCACTGCATTCTCTTTATACATTGCATATTGTGTAAAATACTGAGCTATTTTGAAGCAATATTTATAAACCATTCAGTACTGAATAAATTAACAGTTATAATAAGAACATTTCACTGTTTTTTTTCTTTCTTTCCCCTGAGCATGTATTAATGCATTCTGGGATTGCTGCCTTAAAACTTGGCCAAACGAAAGGATCTCATTTCAAATTAAATTTCAATGTTTTGAAACAGACTTTGTTGAAACAGACCCAACTTTGTTGGGAACATTCTGAACAAAATAGCTACAGTGTGTGTTTCCTACATTCCCTACATTTACATAAAATGTACATTATTTTTTTTTTCTAACAGAATCTGCAGTGTGGGCTGTAAATATGTGCAGCTGACAGTTTCCAGCAGCTCCACAAGACTTCTTATAAAGCCTTGTATGTACAGCTTCTAAATGCTCTTTTGTGGCAGAAGCTTCCTGCCGCCTGTATTTCACAATCTCAACACAGGCTACATGTAAGAATCATTGGATATCAACACGGATGTTGAATTCTTCAGTATACTAGGTCGTGAACAGGAAGCAATATTTCACATTTTTCACATAGTTTGGCTTCTTGTATCAGTTAATCTTCACCCATAATTTACACTGGCTTGGATTTCAACCCAACTGCATTATTACATACTGATAGAGACGAGGGCTCTGTTTCAGAAAATACAGTATTTTAATGCATCATGGGCGACTTTTGCTGCATATTTTTCTGTGCACAACACAATCAGAACAGACACACTGGTATAGACTTTATTATCAGAATTAGATGTTAAAGGTCAAGTGTAATGTTAAAGGAGTAGTTCACCCCAAAATGGAAAATGTAACCCTCAGGCCATCCTAGATGTAGATGAATTTGTTTCTTCATAGGAACAGATTTGGAGAAATGTAGCATTACATCACTTGTTCACCAGTGTATCCTCTTCAGTGAATGGGTGCCGTCAGAATGAGAGTCCAAACAGCTGATAAAAGCATCACAATAATCCACAAGTAATCCACACCACTCCAGACCATCAACTCATATCTTGTGAAACGAGAAGCTGCGTGTTTGTAAGAAACAAATCCATCATTAATGCATTTTAACTTCAAACCTTTGCTTCTGGCAAAAATATAAGTCCATAATCCATAATAACGCTTCCTCCAGTGAAAAAGTCCATCCCCTGTTGTCCTCTCACATCGAAATCAACCCACATATTTTTTTAGAGCTGTTTTGGACTGTTTCTGCTTGTCTCTCCTGATTCAGACAAGATGACTTTTTCACTGGAGCAAGCAATATTATGGATAGAGGACTCGCATTTCAGCTGGAAACAATGGTTTGAAATGAATAACTTCTTGTTTATAACAAACAGGCAGCTTTTCACAAGACATGAATTGATGGGCTGGAGTGGTGTGGATTACTTGTGGATTATTGTGATGTTTTTATCAGCTGTTTGGACTCTCATTCTGACGGCACCCATTCACTGCAGAGGATCTGTTGGTGAGCGAGTGATGTAATAATACATTTCTCCAAATCTGTTCTGATGAAGAAATAAACTCATCTACATCTTGGATGAGGGCGAGCAGATTTTTATTAAATTGTCATTTCTGGGTGAACTATTCCTTGAATGCATGCATACATGGGGGAGAACAGATCTGCACAGAAATGGGCTGGCGCTTACCTCCGCATGCAGTCCAGAGCTCGCACAAAGTAATCTTTATTGAGCTGGTGCTCGTCCCGCAGCAGAGAGCACTGCTCCAGCGTCACTGACATGGACGTCCTGTCTTTGGCACTTTTACAGCTGGTGAAGCGGATACCATTTATGCGTCGACAGATCTGAGGAGACATGTGACCGATTCAATTGTATTTACTTTTGCTTCCCTGATATGAAGTATGGTGGTGATAAACTGATGGTTGATTCCTATTTTCACAGAGCGAAATTCACAGAGATGCGCTGCCAAAAAACAAAACAAAACAAAACAAGGATATTTAGTTTTGTTTTTACATGGGCAAGAGACTGTGTCATTAGAAATGTTTTAATAATGACTCAAACAGCAAACATTCATTCCTGTGAGTCGGTTTGTTCAGTCAGTTCTAATGAAAAGATTCAAAAATCTGATTCATTGAGTGAGTCGTCACTCAAAAACATTCACAAATTGTTAAATTTTTCAAGTATTATAATGCTTTAATAATGTATATGTAGTGCAATATATATAACATATATTTAGGTAAATATTGCTCTTTATGTTGTTGAATATAATATAATATCAAACAACAGGACAAAAATACTATTTTATAAGCCTTTAATTACTCTCTTGAAATCCATGATGGTTACACTTTACTTGAAGGGGTGTGCATAAGACTAACATGACACCTTCATAATCATGACATGACACCTACATAATCATGACATTACACATGTCATGAATATGAAGGGTTTTTATGCATGTTTATGACAACTGTCATTAAGTGTCATTCGCTCAGTTCTGTAATTTTTAATGCAAAGATGACATTGTTTGAGATGTCTTTGTTATGGGCTATGGTTAGGGGTAAGGGTAGGGGTAGGGTTAGGTTAGGGTTAGGTCAAATAATGTCATATGTGCATTAAAAATTACAGAACTGAGCGAATGACACTTAATGACAGTTGTCATAAACATGCATAAAAACCCTTCATATTCATGACATGTGTCATGTAATGATTATGAAGGTGTCATGTCAGTCTTATGCACACCCCTTCAAGTAAAGTGTTACCTCCATGATTTATAAGATTAAAATCTTACTTGAAATCTTGATCATAACAGAGTTTAATTATTCACAAATGTGAGGTTACGAAACAAACTGCACAGATTCCATGACCTCAACCTCAGCCTCACCATTCCCGCAAGCCACAGGATCTCCACATTCTTTCTCTTCTTGGTTACTACATTCTGGCCGAGGGTGCTGAGCAGTTCCTTAATGTCTGTCTGTGTCTGAAAACACGGCAGGCCTTCAGAAAGAAGAGACAAAAAGAGCAGGCACTTTAGATGTCATGCATCAACGGGTTTAAAGAGGGCTTGTTTGTCCCTGTATTGACAAGATGAGATTGAAAAGTCTGGGGACATGCTATTTTTCTGATAAACAGAGAGATGGAAAGAAGACAAGATGTGACACGCTGCGATGCTGCTTGGCATTCGTCTGCTGGGAGCATTCATCAAGCGGAGCCGTCACGCTCCATAGACGTGATTGACATATCAGAGAACAATAAATTCCTGCACTCAAATCCTTCGAACATGAGACGCTGTGCTCGGCACAATCACTGCAGCAGTGCCGCATGGCTGTGGATGTGTGGCATGAACAGTGTTGGGGGTAACGCATTACAAGTAACGTGAGTTACGTAATCGGATTACTTTTTTCAAGTAACTAGTAAAGTAATGCATTACTTTTTAATTTACAAGAAAATATCAGAGTTACTTTTTTTTAAGTACACCAGTTACTTTGTTTTCCCATTTATTGATTGAAAGCGCTCCTGTCCCCATGTTGAGAGAAATCAGAAGATGTTACTTTAGTTCTAGAATAAATGTGAACATGCATTAATTCATCTCACTCACTCACTCACACACACACACACACACACACACACACA